AATAGTAGTGCGAGTCGAAAACAAGCGTTAAAGCCTTTAATATGTCTTCAAATATAAATAAACATCTCGTTGATATTTTCAGTAGTAAATGGTACCAATAACAGCACATTTGCGCAATGCAATTGTAGTGGATAAAACGGTCAATTTTTCCGTGCAGTACTGTACCTACGGATTATACGCTCCTCACCGGTTAAGTTTGGTCGAGAGTTGTCTCCTTTCTTTTCTGTCCTGGTGCTATTTTTTTCTACTTTGCGCCGGTCAAACTGAAGGTCACATCCCTACAGAAACTAAACGAAATATAGGTATCAGCATATGAAAATGTGCCAAATAAATACCTATTGTACATATATTATACATGCTTTAGGAAAACAATAAAATCTATAAAGAGATGTTTCAGTTAGTATGTATGCTCCTTAATAAGTTTCTTCACTAGGTAATCAAAGTTTGTTTTTCAAGGAAGTATCGGTATGTACTCCTCCTTTGATTGCACTTGATATCAAAATCAATTGCTTCATTAACAAACAGTAGGAAAATGAGATAATATCAATAATTTATAACAAAGGTTTATTTAACAAAGCAGATAAAATAATTTTGTATATATATATANCGTATTCTAAAATATTACCGCACATTAATTGAAAAACGTTGCTGAATTTGCGTACGGAAAAAATTGGGGTCGGCAGCATTTTTTTGCCGAAACCACTGACATAAATCAATTCGCGGCTGGAAATTAGTTTTTTGCAAGGCTTGCACTCTTTGTAAATGATATGGATGCAGCAACTGTTTCTTTAAAATGCGCCACACTGTAATATGGAAAGAGCTATGGTTCCGCGCTATTTCTCGTGTGCTACTTTGGAAGTTGTTCTCGCATTCCCCGTAAATTAGTATCATGTCCCAAAATATTGTCGTACTGAAGCCATTGTACCAACTACTGTTGTTATTGACCTATGACAGGATAATGACCTTTTTTGAGTACTTCTATGACCTCCCATCCACTCCAGCAGGTTGAACAATAACTATTATATAATAATCATAAAATAATTTTATTCTAATTTCTACATGTAGTGAGTGTAGATCATCATCTAGTAAAAACTGAACGCCGCTGGTAAGCAGTCGCATTCGTAGCATTATTTTCTTATTGTTTCGAAAATGCATAATTTAGTTTGGAGTAATATCTTGCTTTCGCAGAACTTTTGTATTTGTTCATTACGTGACAAAAATATTAAAAGTTAAAACCCTGAGTGAATCATATAAATAACATAATTACCAAAACTAAGTAGCACAATAACTATGAATGATAAATTTCAGAGAATAAAAATAATTTTCATTATAAGGAATTAAATTAATAACTCTATTTGTATTTTATTTAAATAACGGACGGAGTTGAATTAAATAAATATACATGATTTTCGAAAAGTACTAGACCTCCCTCCACTTCCCTTTAAAATCTTTAGTTCGCGAAATTAGGGGGATTAAATAGGTTTTTGAGATTTGCAGTCGCTAAAGTGACAACTAAGATCTGGTTTATCAAACCGTCTATATTTGTTTTCTGAAACATGTATAATCTTTTAAAACGTACCATTACATAGTCCAAACAAATGCAAACAGGTGTCGCTTTAATTTTTTTCTGTAGGTAATTTTATATGCGGTTTATGCTTAATATCTTTCTTTTGTTTTCTTCCCTCAATTAAATTAGATTCATTGATTACATATATGTTTTTGTAAAGGATTTTATTTATTAATAAGCAGTAATTTGTTGTTATGTAAGTGAATTTTGGTTAGCTTGTTTGTACTTTTATTTTGAATCCGCTAAGAGAAAATACGTAATTATTTTAGCTTTTTAGTGCTCTGAGATTTTTACATTTTCTTTTCAAACACTTCATTCAAACTTTTTAGTCACTATTTAGTTATTATGTACTTATACCTACGTAATCGAGATGATTAACTGCGAAACGAGGGATATTTATATAATAATGACATATCCTACACACTACAACGGTATGACAAGTACAGCCCGTCGAAGAGCTACTTGCTTGACTTAATTTATTAAAAAACATTATTAAAAAATTCTTACGTAAAAAAAATAAAATCTGCTTAGTACATTCACAATACTTTATGACCAGCGTTCATTGTAATTATTTATGCGAAAAGGAAATGTCAATACAAAACTTACTTTCATAAATGCGTAGCTTAGGGAATGTCTAAAAATGTCATCAGCATTTCCTTGTATAATTTCCCATAAAAATATTGTTTTTATATAATAGCTGGCAATACAACTGTAGTTCTGTACGTCACGTAACCTCTAAAAAACATAAAAACAAAATTTGGCTTTTAAAATTTAATTAAATTCCAACTTTTAGGAGTCTTAGCGATGGCTTGAGTGTTGGATAGTTATTTATTAAAACCCTCTCCTGTTCTTGAAAAGAAAGTCTCCAATAACGTTCTACTTTGGCCATTGTCCGCTTAGGTTGTTTAGGAACAACAAAAAAATCTGGCTAAAAGAAACATTAAAATGAACAATTTAATAATCGATTCTTTTTTAATTATTAAACAAACCTTACTCACACAAGGATTGCTTCTATATCCACCTTCGGGCCAACTTCTTTTAAATATAAAACAAGGCACAAAGTCGACATCAAATTTAATATCTGCACCAGTAATTTTAAAAGTAAAAGCTGGTCCTTCTTTATGTACAGTTGCCTGAAATGCAAAATAAATTTAAACAAAAAATGAAAATTTCTTTTTTTATATACAGGGTGTGTCTGAAATATGTAGTAAACTTTGGATGGATGTTAACTAGATGTGATAGGGAATCGCACGGTCAGTAAAAAAGCCTAAAAAAAAAACAAAATGTAAGAAAAATAGAAGAAGTTAGAATCTGAAGCCGGTCCTGGGCGTAAATTGACAACACAAGTATTAATACAGAGAGTTGCCATAACAACTAAGCAGCTACAGCTACATCGATGAAGATTGTAAACATACGCACACTACGGGTTGTGGAATAGTTAATAATGTAAACAACTACTTACTACTAGCTAATGCACATAATAATGTTTTTAAATGCCCATTATGTACAGTCGGTAAAGTTTTTTGTAAGAATGTTAAAAACGTCACCCCATTTAAACGCGCAGGTAGAATAAACGGCCCAACTAGCGTATCTCCAAAAAATCCGCACCACATGTTAACTGAAAATAGTTGAAGTCGCGAAGGATGCACGACATGCGGATTTGCGCCATACCAATAGTGAATATTATGAAAATTTAAAATTCCAGCGTTCGTCCTTAAACAACACCCTACTGAAAAAATAGGGATCTGTAACATTTTTATTTTGAAACCACTGACGTAAATCTACTCGCGGCTGGAAATCAGTTTCTTCCAAGGCTTGTACTCGCTGCAAATGATAAGGATGCTGTTCCTTTAAAATTCGCCACACTGTAACATGGGAAAAGCCAAGGTTTCGCGCTATTTCTAGTGTGTTACTTTGGGAATTGTCTTGTATATAATCAAGGATCACATGTAAGGTGTACATTAGCAATTTCTCTTAATCTTTGTATTGCATTTAAGATAGTTTGCCGATGAGGAAGTTTTTGTTGGGGATATGGATGATCGTGCAATTCGACCGTTGCATTAATATTGTAGTCGCATTTTCCGTAAATTAATATCTTGTCACAAAGTTCTACTGTACCGAACGCCATTGTAACAACTACTGTTGTTATTGACCTATGACAGTAGCACAGTGTAGCACGTTGACCTACTGCCAATTCGACTGATTACATACATACAAATTTACAATATTAAAAGAACAAAGAGCTACTGTAGACCGGTTGTAACATAAACATCGTCAATTACACTAAATCCAATCTAACAAATAACAAACGCAAATGCATAAGTAGAAAAATACATAATTGTTGTAGTTCTCTGTGTTATCCTATCAAGGCCGAACTAGCCTTTGTCTGAACTTTCACTGATGTTTTTCTCGAAAACAGTGGACTTTCCGATCACCAAACATTTACTTAATTTTCTTGTATTATTCTACTTGCAAGCTTAACACAGACTTGACACAGAAACCATTACTGGTGGGACGTACGCTCGTAAAAAGGGGAACATCATCGATACCTGTTAGAATAGTCAATTTGAAAGACTTCCAGCAAACTAGTGGAAATCCACCACTGTGCCTGGGAAGAAGAACCTGTGATCAAACCGATATTACTTCCTGCAACTTTAACACAGCTATTGTAGTAAAGCGGTCATTGGAGATGGTGATTACCAGCATCAGTGTAGTATTTGTTTTGTATTTTTTTGCTCAAATATTGTTGGTTCTTAGAATAGAATAAATTTGATTCATGGTGGTTATGTTAACAGCCAACCTCTAGTAGCCATTTATTCTTATAAGGTTTAAAACATTGTACAGTTCAATAAACCAATTCAGCAATACATCAGTTATTAGTGTAGGTCAGTTACTGCGTCCCATCACAGTGCCTCGTAAAATTTTGTTGTTTTCCTATTTATTTCCTTATCGTTTTATTTACATATAAACAAAATGATTCGATAACTCAGAGCAGTAGTAGAAAATACATATTTTAATGTTGTTAATGTTTAATGATACACTACAAACTCACCAGAAGTTTTCCGTACGAAACACTTAAGATATAACCATTGCCTTCTTTTGGAAAACATTGTAATGCTTTATGAATGACTCCTTCAAACCAACGAGAAACTTTTGATGTCAAAAGGTAAAACTGGTCATCAACTAATTTTAATAAAGCTCTAAAAATGGAAAAGTAATTTAAATGAGAGACTATTTCAATTTAATTACATCTCTATACAGCATGCAACAACATTAGTAAGTAAAAGATACATGCATTATAAGGGTTCCGTACTTAAATCATTTTATAAAGCTTATAAAAAGTTAGAACCCAAGAAATATTTTTGTACCACTTTTTAAAATTATACCAAAGGTCAAAATTCCGCGTCAAACAGGTTGGGTGAGATGTACGAGTTCTGTTTTAATAAAGTACCTATATGTTTTGGCATTTTGGTACGGAACACTTTGACTGTAATGTACTTTAAGGAAAAGGTAAGAAGAACCTTATTGCCTTTTATAAAACCCTTTGCAATAATTAGTGTGAAAAGATGAACCTAGGTAACCGAAAGTAAGCATTATTTTAAACAGCAACCTAAATGTAAAGCATAACTTAAGTATTTCTTTCATTCTTCCTTAATAATTGAAAATTGTAAATGAAATACTCACATACAAATATAAATTACACTAGTTTAATGAATGAAGGAATTATTAAATAATAATTTAAGGCGAATCTAATCCATTTTATAAAAATACAGAAGATGCCTCTTACCGCTCATTTAGATTTAATGTTAAATATATGTAAATTCTGAATAACTGGAATAAATATTAAAAAATCCCTTAAATAGTCAATTTAACCGCAATTATATGGTATATTAACCCCAATTATTCTATAACCCTACATATAAATCTTAAAAAAACGATCATAAACCGTAAAGCATTTTTATGCAAGATCAACTAATCAACTTTCTTTCGAGAGCAGTTTAGCGTACCAAGGTAGTTGGTCGACTCTAAAATACCACAATATCATTATCAATTATACTTTTTTTCACTGATGAAAACCCCACTTTTTCACAGATGTAATTACATCTAACTACACAGAAGTTAGAATGCAATAGTTTCGAAAGTCAAAGGTGGGCAAGTGGGTATATGTATAATCGCAACTTAAAACGTCTTGAGTTACATGATTTACGCACCTATGGAGGAAAAGCAAAGAATACCTCAAACCGCATGTTTATTTTCTTCAATGGTGCGAATACAAGTTTTCATTGTTCCTTGGATAAAGTAATTTAGAAATTATGTTCATCTAGAGAAAAACCACAAAAGCTTTCGATGTAGAAAAGTAAGATATATTTCATCATTAAAAATGTTCATAAATATATATACAGGGTGTTTCTGAAATAAGTAGTACTATAAAATAAGAAAATTAAGTAAATGTTTATAAGTCGGAAAATTCCTAGTTTTCGAGAAAAACGTAGTTGAGATGCAGACAATGCAATTCCGACCTTGAAAAGAAATGCGACAACGCAACGCCGTATTCAATCAGCTGGCAATTAACAGAATCAGTGTATTTTGTGTTTATGCTACAGTCAACTGCAGTTAGTAGTTTGTTTTTTTAACGTTAGAACCTTGACGTATTTAGTCAGTCGATGGTAAGTCAATTGGTCCGTGTAAACGCAACGTTTAAATTGTACAATAATCCCAAATTTTCCCTTCAATTGCGAGTCGTGAATGTCGTCATCCGAACCATATCACCGCTAAAAAGATGAAATCTTTGATTTTCACATAAGACAACTCCAAAGTAGTGCACGCGAAATAGCACGCAAAGTTGACTCCTCTCATGTGTGACAGTGTGACAGATGCTAAAAGTGCAGTTGCTGCATCCTTATCATTTACAGCAAATGCAAGCCTTATACTAAACTGAGATTTTCAGCGGAATTCAAATTTACTCATACCCTGAGGTGTAATTTAAATAATGCTACATACTATAAACAATGAACAAATTTCATTTATACCGTGATAGGCCATATGAACATTATGTGTAGCTAATGTTTATTTTAGCCGATCGAAAAGCGGTAGTTTTTACGTTCTCCAACGTTGTAGCTTCTGAGTCCTTATCTCAACTCGGTTCATAAGTACAGACATAACTTGCCAATTCACGCTCAGAACCGGCTTAGGATTTAAACTTTTTTTTTAATTTCTTGTCTCTTGACTATACGAATCTCTATTGCTACTTATTTCAGAAACACCATGTATATATATATTTACTTTAAGAATCTTCCTTCCGATCCCAGTATAATGTGGTTTTTAATGTATACGATTTCAAACTTTAATTTTTATAGTTTTATGTGAAGATTAATCCTTGCCGCTTTAAAATTAGCGCTTTGTTATATCGGGTTGTTAATATTTAGAGAAAACCCGTACAAAGGTCAGAATATTCGATGCATTAGCCAGGGTGGGCTTGGGCAGATGGCATAAAAAGGACGTAGGTGACATAAAAAGGACGTAGCTAAGGGTTAGCTACGTCCTTTTTAAATCAGAAAGCCATCTGAAAAGTAAGCGTATCCTCAACAAATGAGACTGACTGATTTCAAAATAATATCTTGGCATTTGAACAAAAGTATTGCAGCAGGAGATATATATTACAATATTCTGAGGTTATGATTTGAATTAATGTTTTCCTTGTATCTAGCATCCGAAACAGTTAGCTACATAGCAACTATAAAACGATGACGTCGGCAACAACATTATCAAACACAGTGTCAAATAGCAGTTATCGATTTCTCTCAATACAGAGGCTTTGAACAAAATACAGTATCCAAAAAGATGAGGAAGTAGCAAATGTAGATGCACGTGAGATTGCAGCACTTGTCAAAGCTTTATATGCACAAGAATACTGTCACGTGCTTTTGTGGAATTGTCTAAAATAAATATTCTACATGCACACCCGTATACACATGCGCACATATACATAATAATCTAAGTAACTATAAAGAATGTATTTCGATGGTTTTAGGAACTATTGTAAACACTATTCCATTGATGTTTCGTCATTTCCTTCTTGCTGGCACTTTCTACAAAGCAGTGTTGAAAGCAAAGGTTGCTAAGCATAATGCGTATGACACTTGTTTATATTTGTAGGGTTCTTGGACACTGAAATTTTTCTGAACTGCGAAGGTATTCTTCATCTGAATACTTTCAAAGGAATTAACGTGCTCCTAACATTTGCCTTATATAAAAGCTTTTGAAGGACTTCAACGTGCAGCATCTGCTTGTGATAAGCTTATCCATACACCTCTCTACGTATTTGATACCTGAGTACGATTAGTTCTTGGAGTATTCCCTCTATCAGGCGGATTGGTGCTAAAGAAGCCTTTTTACCGACCCCCTGAAGCCAGCCAATCGACTATCCATCAAATAGCTATTTGGAAGATTACGAGAACCGAAGCTAATGGGACCTGTCATCTCAATGGCCGTCACTACCTTAGACCACTTATTGCTAAACTACATATATCTCCCGTATTTAATCTAATGAAACATCCTTCCTAGCTGCAACAACGCACTTCTGATGGGTGAAACTATACCACGCGCGCGTATCTATTGTACCCACCACTCGCTTGTCAGACGTACTAAATTGATCGAGATTCGTGGTTGTGCAGCTTAATCAGCCTCTAGGCCTGTTCGAATATCCGTCGAAGTAAACTATTATCGTTATAGGTGACGAAGATTCTATTGCCTCTCTGTGGGCAGGAAATCTATGGTATGCCGATAGAGGGATTCGTTCTTTTCAGTCTCCGCTGTTTGTAGTTACGGCCGATTCGAATAAAGATAAGATGAAGGCCCTGCGCAAATCCGTAATGAAATATTTATTGTAAAACATTTAGATAATAAAATTTTTTTGTAAACTGACAAGGAATAAACGATTTTTTTCTGTAAAACGATACAACATTCGGCATCTTCTGTATTTCCATAAAGTTACCTAATGTCAGGAATCACACGTTTGTCCACTTTTCGGGTTTCAATAAGCCATTTTATCAAAAGTTTCTGAGTTTTGGTAAGATGTAATTTTGTTTTGTAATTATTAGGGTAATATTTTTTGTTACGATTATGGTGGTTTTGAAAATGAAAATTTCTGGCTTGTACCATTCCTTCGTTTTCTCTGAAATTAATTTCATATATTAATTGTGAATTTTTTATTGTAACTATACTAATGGAATTATTTGTGAAAATTACTATACAGGCCGTAAACCGTTTATCGATTTAAAACTTAATATACACATTTCTATAAGGAATCTATTTAGTCAAAATACATTCGAAATTGTGGCATTTCTGGCTATACCGCAGTCCCTACCTGCACCAAGAAAGTTTAAGAGTTTGTTTTATTCGTAAAGTCGCCGCAATTTTTTGCATACCCCATATTTTGGCATTCTGAACAACTTTCTCCTACAACTTTTTCAATTGAACCCGTATTTAACTGTGCTGCTATTATAAAACTTTCTTTTTTCTGTTTTTGAACACTGAATGGCGAATTAAATTTAGATACCACAATCAATCAAGTACAGTAAAAGCTCTTTATTAGCGGGGTATATGTACCATAAATATGCCGCGAATACAGAAACCGTGGACATGGAATGGTAATTAGTATGGAATCATGGGGGATACGTTCTAAGGTTCCAATATAAAACCAATATGTATCAGAATAAAATCAATTTATTGAGAAATTTGCAATTAAAATTAATCGTTATAATCAGCTTTAGACAAGGGTTTAAAAAAATTGGTGATTTTTTCTTGTTTTGAATTTTCAAATTAGTCCACTCGGTTACCTCTTTTATAAAAGCTTCCTCGGCACGTACCAACAGTACATAGTCAAANTAGTTGTAGTTGCAATAATAAAACTACAACTACAAAAATTAAAAATATGATAAATAACAATTACTTACGATTTATATTTTTCAAATTCTGGCTGCTTGACTAGTTTTTCGAATGTTTCCAACTGAACGTGCATGAAGCCAGGAATATTGCTGGTTTTTACCTTCGGTGTACTGAACTTAGGCAGTTCCAAAAGGAGATCGAGATCATATTCTTCTGGCGAACCGACCTTTAATCCATCAAAATAACTTCCACCATAAAAGACCGTTGTAAAAAACAACTTAAAGAGGGGATCGATTTCTTTCATTTTATTCGTAATGAGAGTAACAACCTACGGCAATACATGTATAGATATTATGATTAATTTTATTGTATCCATTTATTTATAAACAAAAGTATGAACATTAATTGTACTGATTTAATTTATATTTTGAACTTTTATTATTAGCACATGACTGAAGAGGACTAAAATAAATGGTCCTAAGCCTAAGTATAGTAAAGGTACAAATCATGGATTCAATTTCGGGCAAACGAGAGGGGTTTTAGTTTTTTAGGAGGGAATGCAACACTACACTTCTCCGAAAAAAAAAATCAAAACTGGAAACAAAATAGTTGCCTTTACGGGTCAGTTGAAAATGAACTTTCTACCTCTAAAATAAATAATTCAGTACAATTTAAAAATTTTAATTTTGGTAACAGAGAAACTGAAGAAATGAAATAGAGATATTTTTTATTAATAAGTAAATCATAGTTACCAACTGGTGCTTTATGGAACCTTTGGTTAGGTAAGGTATTGATTTATCTTTTTGATTATTCTTTTTCAACTAGAAGCAATCAGAAAGGGATAAAATGTTCTTTATTAATTACTTGAGAACCGCCCCAGCTTCGCACGGGTGCAATGCTGATACTAAATATATATATACAGGGTGTCCCATTCATAATAATTAAAAAAAAAACATGGATTCCTGACACAAAATACAACAAAAAAGTGTTATACAATTTTTCAGTCCAGTGACAATTGAGCTCGCAAATCGTCTTTGCAAATTTGAATGTACAATTTGGTTCATTACGGGTCTGAATCTAGGCGACTAACGTCGCTCAGCTGATCTAGTGTGAATGTAACAAGTACCCACCTGGAAGAAGCCGAATGCACTTCCACCTTCTAAAAAAAGTAAAAGTGAAAAAGAAAAGCGTACCTTTTATAAAAAATGCTGAAATTGTCCGCCATTCGCTTCAATGCAACACTGGCAGTGGCGTACCCACTTGCTGCGATTTTTTGCCCAGATATCGGGAATATTTCGAATTATATGATAGGCATTGGTAATGTAACTCACCACCAACT